GGGGGTAGCACTAACCCTCTTTGGGGGTGGGGGCGGGGACAGAGTCTGTGGCCATCCCTAAGTCTGCTCCTTGCGTCCTCCTCTGCCTGCCCCTTAACTCACCCTTCTCTCTTCCTACTAACGGGTCAGGAGACCAAGGAGATCAGCTGGGAGCAGGTAGGGGGCGCGGGGCGGGGCGTGAGCGCATGAACAGGCTGTGCATGATGCATGGTTGCCCCTCCTCGGAGACCTGCCCCTTCCTCACCAGAACATGCCATCAATCATCCCCATGGGGGGGGCGCCGTGCCGAGCCCTGGACTGTTCCATTATGGCTTGGTGGTGGGGAGGGTAGAGGGGATGCAATGTGGAAGCCCAGACTGTTGCATAGTCAGCCTAATGCATGAACCATTGCATAATCGCGGGTTGCCGGGGCTCTAAGGTGCTTCAGTTCTGTAGGTCAGGAGAGAGGAGCAGCCCGTGTCCCTGTGTGGAGGGGCAGGGGGCTACGATGGATTGTTCAGTGTACCAGGGCCAAGGAGGAAGCATTGGTTGTGGTGGTGGTGAGGTAGCCAGGCTGGATGAGAAGTTGGAGGGAAGGAGCTACACTTTGTTTTCAAGCAGCAAGAGGTGGCTGGGCACGGTGGCTCATGCCTGTAGTCCCAGTACTTTGGGAGGCCGAGGCAGGCGGATCACCTGAGGTTGGGAATTCGAGACCAGCCTGGCCAACATGGCAAAACCCCGTGTCTACTAAAAATACAAAAATTAGCTGGGCACGGTGGCGAGTGCCTGTAATCCCAGTTACTTGGGAGGCTGAGGCAGGAGACTTGCTTGAACCCGGGAAGCAGAGATTGCAGTGAGCGGAGATTGAGCCATTGCACTCCAGCCTGGGTGACACAGTGAGACTCTGTCTAAAGGGTGTGGGGGGGAACCAAGAGGCATGAACGCACTGTCCACGGAGGAATTATAGTGGATTGGTCTGTGATCATGGATCACATATTTCCAGCCAGGGGGAAGCATGGATTTTGTGCTGATGCTGAAAGCGGTGCGGGGCTTGGGACTCATCTGGAATGTTGTTCTGGGCCAGATATAGCATTAGACTAGTATTGCAAAGGTGATGGCCCTTTCTTAGTGGGAGAGCTGCCCTGAAAGAATCCATTGCCCTGACTTGCGGGTGTAGCGATGTTGGACTTCAGTGAGACAGAATTAAAGCAGTGCGTCCCAAAATTTAATGTATAGTGTGGTGGCACGCACCTGTAGTCCCAGCTACTTGGAGGACTGAGGCAGGAGGATCGCTTGAGCCCAGAAAACCGAGGTCAACCTAGGCAACATAGCAAGACCCTGTCTCTAAAAAATAAACAAATACGGTCAGGTGCAGTGGCTCATGCCTATAGTCCCAGCACATTGGGAGGCTGAGGCGGCCAGATCCATTGAGGTCAGGAGTTCAAGACCATCCTGGCCAACATGGTGAAACCCCGTCTCTACTAAAAAATACAAAATCTCAGCTACTTGAACTCAGTACGGGGAGTGTGCAGTGAGACGAGATCGTGCCACTGTACTCCAGCCTGGGTGACAGAGCGAGATTCTGTCTCAAAAATAAATAAATGAAAATAAAAAAATATAATGTATATTTCAAGTCACCTGAGGGTCTTGTGAAAATGCAGATACAGACTTCAGTAGGTGTGGAATAAGGTCTGAGATTCTGCTGTTCCACCAAGTCCACAGATGATGGTGACACTGCAGGTCTCAGGACTACTGTTTGAGTAGCCAAGAGTATATGCTGTCACAAAGGTCTAGAAGACGACTCTGCATCAGTCCGTTATCCTGAGCAGAGATGGGTCATTATCCTGCTATGGGATGGGCAAAAAACCTTGGACTGGGGGGCTGGACTGTACCCCTCTCATGCACAGTGGGAAGGGGCCAAAGGGCCTGACTCCTCCCTCACCTGCCCATGGCCCCAGATCCTGGCATATGGCGACATGAACCACGAGTGGGTGGGGAACGACTGGCTGCCCAGCCTGGGGCTGCCCCAATACCGCAGCTACTTCATGGAGTCGCTGGTGGATGCCCGAATGTTAGATCACCTTAACAAGAAGGAGCTCCGGGGCCAACTCAAGATGGTGGACAGCTTCCACAGGTGGGGGCTGCCTGGTCAATGGGGATAGTCCAAAGGGAATCCCCGCCCCAGAGAGTCTTTGGCCAATGGGATTGGCCATGGGAGATTCCTAGGCTTATCTTGGGCCTTTTAGCCTGGGTTCTCAGGATATCCTTACTCTGTGCCCCTTTCACCAATGCGATGGTCCACAGGAAAAGTTCATTCAGATCCTGAGACGGCTTGGCTAGTTAACCCCGTACCCCTTTCCAGGCTGGCCAATAGGAATTGCCTGTTGAAAATGCCTCACCTCCAGAGGGGGTCAACAGTCAATAGAACTGATCAGCTCTCTACCCTTTCCAAGAAGAGCATAGTCAGTGGGGAGGGACCTGTAGGAGCAGCAGCCAGGGGGATTGGAAGGCTCATCCGTGACTCCCCTTCCCCTGCTGCTCAGGGTGAGTCTACATTATGGGATTATGTGCCTGAAACGGCTCAACTACGACCGGAAGGACCTGGAGCGGAGGCGGGAAGAGAGTCAGACCCAGATCCGAGGTGAGTAGAGTGTAAGGGTCCCTCTGGGAGCCAGGTGGAGGTTGTGGAGCTGGATGGGGAGGAGACGGGGTGGGGGGAGGCCGGAGAAGAAGATTGGCACGTGGAACCAGCGTAGGGGGCGTGGCCCGAAGAGAGGAAATGGAGGTGGGGGTATGGGCTAAACTGGACTCTCCAGGCCACGGGACGGACACGGCTGAGGGTCCCTTCCATCCCCAGACGTGATGGTGTGGTCCAATGAGCGGGTCATGGGTTGGGTGTCCGGGCTCGGCCTGAAGGAATTCGCCACGAACCTCACGGAGAGCGGGGTACACGGGGCACTGCTCGCCCTGGACGAGACCTTCGACTACTCCGACCTGGCCTTGCTCCTGCAGATCCCCACGCAGAATGCACAGGTGAGCTGCCGCTCGGCCCGCAGCATGCTGGGCGTCCCCGCCTCGCAGACTGCACGCTCCAACCGCCCCCTCCACCTCCCCTTTCCAGGCCCGGCAGCTCCTGGAGAAGGAATTCAGCAACCTTATCTCCTTAGGCACAGACCGACGGCTGGACGAGGTGGGCGCTCTACTCCCCGCGGCGCGCTGAGGGGGCGGGGCCTGACTATTAACAAGTCACGGTTGGAGGCGGGGCCAGGAGAGGGGCGGGGTTAAGGGAGAGGTGAGACCCTGAGAAGGGTGGAGTCAAAGGAAGGGGCGGAGTCAGACGAGGCCCGAGTCCCTCACTGGCTGCCCGGCTCCTATACCTAGGACAGCGCCAAGTCCTTCAGCCGCTCCCCATCCTGGCGGAAGATGTTCCGGGAGAAGGACCTTCGAGGCGTAACTCCCGACTCAGCTGAGATGTTGCCCCCTAACTTTCGTTCGGCTGCAGCAGGAGCCCTGGGCTCTCCAGGTCTCCCTCTTCGCAAGCTGCAGCCAGAAGGTGGGGGGCTCCCAAATGCGACAGCCCCTCCTCCCTTCCCTAGGGTGGGACATGGACCACCTCAGTAGTCTGGGTTCTGGAATGGCCTAGTCCTTTCTCCCCCCTGAGGAATGGACTGCTCCAACGTTCCGGACTCCCCATTCAGGATGGAATGGATGAATTCCACTCTCCCTTCCCAGGGCGGAGAGTGAACTCGCCCAAAGCGAGTTTGAGTCCTTGGCTGCAGGGAAGGGAGGGAAACCCACGTGGAGCCCGGCGAACGTTGTGACAGCGGGAGGGGGAGTCCAAAGGGAGGACTCCTGGAGAGGAACAGGGAGGGGGGAGCTCCAGGCTGAACCGCTGCTCGCTCTCCCTCCAGGCCAGACTTCTGGGAGTTCCCGGGCAGACGGCGTTTCGGTCCGGACCTATTCCTGCTAGTGTAGGATTCCAGGTGAGGACCGTGCTGGGCGACCTTGGGGGTGCGGGGCGGCACGGTGGGTCTTCACTGCTCCACGCGCTGCCCGGCGTCATGCAGGTGACCTCACTCGGACGGAAGGATCTTCCCGAGGCTGGGCTGTTCCCTCTCCTGCCCAGTGTGGCCTCGCCGGGGAGAGCGGGCGGGGGAGCTCGCGCCGAGGACTGGACCATCTGTACAGCCCAGCGGGACTTGCGCGTGCCCGCCTCGCACACGGCCGGGGCCTGGACCAAACCACACGAACTGTACTGAGAGGGGGAAGAAGCGGGCAGGAAGCAATCCCGCCCCAAACGTCCGCCTTCCTTTTCTCTACTTTGTAATTTATTGATCAGTTTCTGTTGGGAGACGGGTGTCCTTTACCCGCGGGAAGTGGGCGAGACTTCCCTCCCGGGCCGCATGCGGGGAGAGGCTGCCCCCTCCCCTTTTTCCTGCCCAGTCGCGGGGCCCAAGTCTTCCTTCTTCGTCCGCAAGGAGGGGAGGGGGGACTCGCTGCTACAGGCCTCGCCCCCTGTGCCACTCAGCCCCGCCCCGCCGCGTCCGGTCGCCGGTCCCCCGGGTCATCTGCGGGCGGGGTCCCCTCTCCATCCCCCGTGTCTCGTGTCCCCGGGGCCTCACCGCCCCCAGTGCTGTGGCCATGTCCGTGCCCCGGGGGTAGGGGGCGCTGAAGTGCTCTCCCCCTTCCCCTCTGGCTCCGGGGTTTGCATGGGAGAATCCTCTTTCCACGATGCCGCTGGGCGACATGGCATGGGGGCAGGGGGGTGGTGGGGGAGCCCTCGCCCCCGACTCTTGGTCGGCCTCCCCGCCCCAGGCGTCACTCAGTGATCACGGGTAAAGAGAACTGTTTCAAAAAGCTCCCTTGTTGACTGATTTTTTGGGGGGCGGGGGATTCAACTAACAACTTCGAGGAGCCAGGAGTCCAGGCCCCTCATCCCTCAAGTCTGGGTCCAGGTCCCTAGACCATACCCGCATTCCCTGATGCCCTGAGATTCTCAGACCCCACGTCTGACAATGGAGTTTCGGGAAGCACGTTTACTCAGAGAAATAAATATGGCTCGTGGAAAGGGGTTGGAAAGCAGGAGGAGGTACAACTGCGTCGCAGCCGCGCAGCTGGGTCAGGGTTCCGGTGTTTCCAGCATGTCCGCCAGGGCCCTGGAGAGGAGGACGCCAGAAGTTAGACAGCTGGTGTTCAAAGCTCACCCCAGGACACTTAGAGATCATTAACCTGCCCATTCCACGGACGGGGAAATGGAGTCCCAGAGCCATCCGTTAACTCATAGCGAGACAAGCACTTCTGTAAACTGGGCCTTTACACTCTCCCCAGCCCATACTTACTGATATAGGGAGGAGGAGAAATAGTCGACGTAGCTTCCTGTGGGAGGGCAGAGAAGAGAGGCTTGGGGAGTACTGCACGAGCAAAATTAGGGGGGCACTCAGTATGGCGTGCGAGATTAGTGCTAGCTCCACGCGCTTTTCCCTAATTCCTTCTTCAAACTGAATCATCTTCTACAGGACTCCTTTGGGGGCACGCCGCTTTTTCGTTCTGGGTGATTCCGTTATCCAGGGGCCTCGCCCCTTCGATTCCTACTTGAGTTGGCCTCGCCCATTAGGCTGTAGGCCCGCCCCTCAACCCTCCGCTGATTTCTGTCCCTTGGCTTCAGCAACTCCACCTGGGTTCCTCGGGCCAGGTCCCGACCCACGTGCTCACAGCCTTGGCCACGCCTCCCTTCTTGGCCCCGCCCACCAGCCTTCCGGGCCAGTCCCTCAGGCTTGGCTCCGCCCTCACCAGGATTCCCCACGCTGGTGAGGAATTCCCCAGGGCCTGGCCCCTATATCAGGTTTTTCCAGGGCCCCTCCCATGCTCACCTGGAGTGCAGACCGTTTCGCAGACAAGCGGGCAGAGATAACAGAACTGACAGTGCTGGGGGCGGGGGACAGGGAGAGAGACAATGAGCGTGCGGTGTGGCCGGGGGCGGAGCTAGGACGGGGCCGGGACCAAACCCGGACAGAGGCGAGCTCTAGGTTAAGGTTGGAGTCAGGATCGCTTGTGGAGTCAGGGTTGCATCAGGGGTAAAGGATTGGGTCAGAGACCAGGATTTAGGGCTGGGGTCCTCAGAGGGTCCCGGTGCATCCTGAGGCCCAGTGGAGCCCTGAGTGTGAGGTGAGGTCTCACCTGGCACTGGTCACAGTGCTCACCCATGCTCTCCTCATCACAGTGACAGCTCTCGCATTCCGTGCAACGCTGCGGACCGGGGGAGCCTGGTTAGACGGAAACTCTAACCCCACTTGGGACACACCCGCCCCTGGACATTTCCCCAGACTCTACCCTCTGCAACCTCCGCCTCCCGGGTTCAAGCGATTCTCCTACCTCAGCCTCCCCAGCAACTGGGATTACAGGCGCATGCGACCACACCCGGCTAATTTTTGTATTTTTAGTAGAGACAGAGATGAGGTTTCACTGTGTTGGCCAGGATGATCTCAATCTCTGACCTTGTAATCCACCCACCTCGGCCTCCCAAAGTGCTGGGATTACAGGTGTGAGCCGCCGCGCCCAGCCGACCCTACGCTGTTTACCTCTAACACTGAGCTCCGTATCTGCCCCCCAAACCAGCCTCTCTTCCCCTCCCCTGCCCCTGGTTTTCTATCTCAAGGTGACCCCATGTCCCCCAGTCAGGGTGGGCTGGACTTCAGCTCGAGAGCCGTCCCTCTTGCTCTCTGACTCTCTTTGCCACAGACCTCTGTCTCTGTCCCCACATCCTCAGATGCAGCTTACGTCTTGTCCTCTCCTTCCTGGACCATTGCTCCAGCCTCTTCCCCAGCCTCCAGCCTCCCGTCTCTCCTCACCTCACGTCCCTGCAGAAGTATCTCTTTCCACTCAGAACTGACCCTGGCTTGCTCTTATTCTGAGCCCTCCCACAGCACCATCCCAGGGCCCTGGGACAGATTCTGGGGACATCTTGGTGGGTGGATCTGGGCTGGGGACATACATTGCAGAAGGAGCAGTAGCCACACAGGGACCCTGGCTGGTAGTTCCCGTACTCCTGAGCATCCTGTGGACCTGCGGGGACAGGAGGGCAGCAGTGACCCAGGCTGACTCGGTTCCTCCCCACCCACACTGGGCTGGGCCATTTACCTGTGTCCTCACCGCTTTCCTCCTCACTGGAGGCACCTCCAGCCTCCTCTCTCCCCTCCAATGGGTTGGGGATGATGGTGAAGGGGAGCTCATCTTCCTCCAGCCCCTCCTCCTTCTCTTCTTCCTCCTCCCTGTGGTCTCGGCTTTGTGGGGCCCCAACCTCAGCCCTCTCTTCCCTCCTCTCCTCTTCCTCCTCCTCCTCATCCTCCTCCTCATCCTCCTCTTCTTCCTCCTCCTGGTTCAGGTGGAGGCCATGACCTTCCTCCTCATCCTCCTCATCTTCCTGGTCCTGGCTGCCAAGGTGGGTGCCTTTCTCTTCCTGCTCTGAGCTGTCATCATCTTCCTCGTGGGAGCCGGGGTCCTCTTTCTCCTTTTCCTCCTCAGAATCATCCTCCCTCACATGGTTTCCATCCTTGACCGCTGTGTGTCCTGGGGGGTGATGGCTCATCTCTTCAATGGACTCTGCTTGACCATGGCCAGTTTCTTCATCTTGGTGGCTTTGCCTGTGGCTGGGGGCCTGGTGGCCCAGCTCAGCAGAGATGTCCTCATCTTCCCTGTGGACCCTGTGGTGGTGACGGTGAGGGACTTCTGTTTTATACTCCTCTGGGGCATCCTCCTCACCATTCTTGTGGCCTTCAGGTTGGTGGCTTGCAACATGGTGGCTGAACTGGACTATGATCTCCTCTTCTTCCTCCTCCTCCTCTGCAAGGCCATGGTGGACATGTTGGGGGCCCTGGCGCCAATGTTCAGTGAACATATCCTCATCTTCTTCCTCATCTCTGTGGCCTAGGTGCTCATGGTCAGGGACATGATGGTGGTGTTCGCCTGACATAACCTCATCCTCTTCCTTTCTGTGGCCTCGGGGCCTGTGGGCCTGGTGTCCATGCTCAGTGGAGATGTCATTATCATCATCATCATCATCATCGTCATTCTCATCTTCTTCGTGGCCTCGGTGCCTGTGGCTGGAGCCATGATGGTGGTGTCCATCTGAGATATTCTCATCCTCTTCACTCCTGTGGCCTTGGTGCCTGTGGGCCTGGTGTCTATACTCAGTGAAGACATCATCATCATCGTCATTCTCATCTTCTTCGTGGCCTCGGTGCCTGTGGCTGGAGCCATGATAGTGGTGTCCATCTGAGATATTCTCATCCTCTTCACTCCCGTGGCGTTGGTGCCTGTGGGCCTGGTGTCCATACTCAGTGGAGACATCATCATCATCATTGTCATCTTCTTCGTGGCCTTGGTGCCTGTGGCTATGGTGGTGGTGTCCATCTGAGACATCCTCATCCTCTTCAGTCCCATGGCTTCGGTGCCTGTGGGCCTGGTGCCTATACTCAGTAGAGACCTCCTCTTCCTCCTCCTCCTCCTCTTCCTCCCCCTCTGCTCCTTTATCATCTTCACCATCGTGGCCTCGGTGTCCATGCCTGAGGATGTGATGGTGAGGCTCATGGGACACAACTTCGTCTTCATCCTCGTCTTGGTGGCTGTGGCGCCTGTGGCTGGGGGTGTGACGCCTGCGCTCTGCTGAGTCTTCCGTGTCTTTACTCTCATGGCCTCTGTGCCCACGGGCCTGCCCACCATGCTCTGCGAAGACCTCCTCACCTGAGACATCCTTGTTTCTGACCTCGTGGTCTTGGGACCTCTGGCCTGCGGCGTGGCCATATTCCTTGGAGACATCCTCTTCCTCCTCTTCACCGTCTGGATGACCCCAGAAGTGATGCCCCTTCTCTGTGGAGATATCCTCGTTCTTGTCTGGATGGTCTCTAGGGCTGCGGAGGGGGTGGCCAAGCCCTGCCGATGACTCCTGGGAGGGCCCAGCGGCTCCAGCATTGTTGTTCTGGTTGCTGAAGCCCAGCCCGGCCCCTCTCAGCTGCTGGGTCATGGCCGGGGGGAGAAGCAGGCTGGCCACTGCAGCCCAGAGGACAGAAGTGTGCAGCCATGGCCTACGGTGGCCCATGGGGACGGACAGGCAGCAGAGTTGCTCCTATAGCAGCAGCTCCAGCTGCCTCTGCGGCTCCGTGGATGAATATTGGGGTCTGTCCCTTTGGGATCTGTCTCTTTTTTTCTCTGTGTCTCTGCTTAGTCCTCTCAGTCTCTGTCCACCTTCCTCTGGTCCTTGCTGCCTAGCTCTGGACACCCCTCTGAGGCTGACTCCGGAGCCCCCTGACCCCCCTCCGGGGCCCTCCCTCCCCACTCCCCAGCCAATAGGGCCTTTCCCCTCCCCTCTCTCCAGCTAAATTTACTCTCAGCCCTGAGTTATTCTGGGTCAGTCCCCCGCCTGCCCGCCTCCTACTCCTCCTCCTCCCAGCTGGGGAGGGGACCTGTGGAGGGGTCTCTTCCTGGCCAGGAGATGGAGATCAAGGGGCTTGACTTTGGCCTGCCAACAAGCTCATGCTCGGCAGCTGCAAAGACAAAGGCTAGACTTTTAGCAGGTCAAGTTCAGGGACCCTGGGGCACCTGGGGGAGGCAGAGGGGAGAGACCCCAGCGATAGAAGGACTGGGGGTTGGATTGCGGGGAGTTTCCAGCTGGAATGACATGTGTGCTGAGAGAGTGATGTCAATTTTGAGGCCCTGGAATTGGGGAAAGGAACATGGCCCTCAACACAGGCACCCATGACCTCCTGTCCCTGGAACTCAGATCTGGGGGCAGGGACTGGGCCAGGCCAGGGCTATAAATATAGCTGGGAGGGCTGGGGGGACTCAGGTTACAGAGGCCACAGCTGTCCCCATCACAGAGGGCTGGCAGGAGACACGTGGCTTTGCTCGTCTCTGTGTCAGTATCTCCCCTCCTCACCTGTTGTGACTGCCCCACTCAGGGTCTCCTTTCCTGTTCACGGCTCCTCCTCTCTCTTCCATTCTGTCACCTGCTCTCTCATGGTCCCTGTCCCCCTCCATGGGATTGCCTCTCCCTCTCACTCTGGGCTCTGTCCCCCTCTCATCTGAGTGTCTGTCCTTCACCCAAGTCTGTGTCCCTCTCTCTCCTCTCAATCTCTGGCCTCTCCTTTCTGAGTTCCTGCCCTTCGCCCCACTCTGGTTTTTCACTACCCTCTGCCCCTTGTCTCAGTCAAGGTGGCTCCTCTGCCATAGCTAGCATCCACCTCTCTGGGTCCAAGTCCCCCTCTCCCTTCATCTCTGTCCCCACTTCTGAGTCTCTGTCCCCCTCTCTGAGTCTCCATCCCCCTCTCCCCCTGGGTCTCTGTCCCCTCTTCTCTGGGTCTCTGTCCCCCTCTCTCCCTGGATCTCTGTCCCTCTCTCTCCCTGGGTCTCTGTCCCCCTCTCTCTCTGGGTCTCTGTCCCCCCTCTCTGCGTCTCTGTCCCCCTCTTCTGTGGGTCTCTGTCCCCATCTCTCTCTGGGCC